ATTGAAAATGGTGATTTATAGTGGATTTTCCCATTAAAAATTGTGATTTTCCATAGGTAATGTTAGTTTACCAGAGGGTAACCACTTCAGGAACATCGAAAAATTGGGGTGGAACTTCTCCGAACTCGCTCCTCATGCACTCGCAGAAGGTGAATCAACTCAGGCTGGCGGTAGCATGCCTGGCCAGGCCACGATCTCCCAAATGCTGAGAGTTTTTCCAAATCCAAATTGGGTGTGTCTGAAAATAGTGTACCCCTAAACCCAATGGTTAATGATCATTATCCCTATTAAATGGCTATAATTGGGAATATACTCTATTTTCAGACAAACCCAATTCCTGGGAGAGTATCAAGGGATTATCAATTACCCTCCGGAGATTTGAAGTAGCTATGGAACATGGTCCATTGATGTTTTACTTTTAGGAACCATTGAAAAAGAATAGTTTTCGCCTACTTATAGTAACCATTCAAAAGTAACCATTTCCATTTTATAGTAATTAACCATTATATATATGTCATTATAAATCATTATATATCATTACATATCATTAAATATCATTATATATCATTTTATATCATTACATATCATTGAATATCATTAAATATCATTATATATCATTATATATCATCTTATATCATTAAAAATCATTATATATCATTATATATATATATATATCATTTTATATCATTTTATATCATTATATATCATTATATATCATCTTATATCATTATATATCATTATATATCATTAAATATCATTATTTATCATATTATATCATTATATATCATTTTATATCATTATATATCATTATATATCATCTTATATATCATTATATATCATTAATTATCATTATTTATCATTATATATCATTTTATATCATTTTATATCGTTAAATATCATTATATATCATCTTATATCATTAAAAGTCATTATATATCATTATATATATATCATTTCATATCATTTTATATCATTAAATATCATTATATATATGTATATATCATTTTATATCATTTTATATCATTAAAAATCATTATATATCATTATATATCAATATAACTCATTTTATATCATTATATATCATTATATATCATCTTATTCATTATATATCAATATATGTCATTTTATATCATTATATATCATTATATATCATCTTATATCATTATATATCATTATATATCATTATATATCATTTTATATCATTAAATATCATTATATAGCCTTATATATCATTAAATATCATTATATCTCATTTTATATTATGATATATTATTATATGTCATGGTATAGCATTATACATCATGTTATATCATTTTATATTATATCATTTTATATCATGATATGTTATTATATGTCATGGTATAGCATTATACATCATGTTTTATCATTATATATCATTATATATCATTTTATATCATTTTATATCATTATATATTATTATATATCATTATATTATAGTAAACATGTCTATTTAACATAGTTTTTTTAAAAGATAGCTATAGACCATAGATAGTTATAGCTAGCTCACCTCGCGCACGCCCGCGAAGAAGCGATCCGGCTCGGTACAGAACTCCGCCATGGCACGTTCCTGGCTGGCGCTCGGTACACGGTTCCGCGCAAGGCGGGTCTGCCATGGGTGAAGCATGGGGAGATCATGGGAATCTACTGGGGAAATCCATGGAATGTCAGATATGATCTCAATGGCTGCATCTACTGGGAATACACTGAGGATGAACTTAACTGATATAACTTTTTCATACTTTTTCGAAAAACGACTACCAATCTAAAAAAAAGCGTAACCTCCAATGCGGTAAACCCAATAATCAACACCCAGCAATGGGGATCCGTGTATTACTAGTGGGTTACTTCATTGCTGGGGATTGACCAACATTTGATACTGAGTTTGGGAAATGTTTTTTGGGAAAACCATGGCAATTTTCAATTCACCATATTTACACCTCATGATATTGGGGCAGTGCGGACTCCAAACCATCAACTTTGATGGCAGTCTATCATGTGGTTCAGATAAATGATGCTAAACCAGCGGATGTAAACGTAGCACTATGATAAACAATACCCTCTGGTAAACGTTTACATAACTATGGAACATCACCATGCTATTAATGGGTCAATCAACTATTTCTATGGCAATGTTCAATAGCAAACTGTTTGTTTACCAGAGGGTAATGTGAAAAGTCAACTTTAATGACCATCTATCACTTCGTTCAAATAGATATGTTTTAGTTTTTTACAGGAGAGAGGATGCTTTTTACCGTCGATGTAAGGGTACCATTCTGATCAAACAAGACTTCAAAACTAACGAAACTATCATGCGGAGGGGAACTCAATCGGTAGCTCCTGTGCTCCCCATGGCTAGTAGGGAACCGCTCCCTCCGCAAAACCATGTTTCGTCCCAAGTTGATTGGGCGTTGATAGTAACACTTAACAATTACATACAATTACATAAAATAGTAGCAATTACCCTCCGGTAATTTAACATAGCTATTGAAAATGGCCATTTATAGTGGATTTTCCCATAAAAAATGGTGATTTTCCATAGTTGTGTTAAATTACCAGAGGGTAAATCATGAAATAATCCTTGTTCTATCTTACTTAAAACGTGCCACCACAACTCCGTGCTTTTTCGGTTACGGTTACACTTCAAAGCATGGCCGACCTTCGATGAGCCCCTAGAAAACGGAAAGCAAACTAGGACAATGTTGTACCATATTGAGAATATAGTAAAAAACCATGGAACATCCAGTAAACAAATGGCATTCATCATCATTCATCACATGAACAACCATATACATAGAAGACTTGTTGTAATGAATAAACAATTAGCTGTATATATATATATATAGAGTAACGTCAAAAAGATAGAACGTATGCTTCCAGGATGGTCCTTCCATCGTATTCACTCAAGAAATGTTCAGGTGTTCAACTTTTTTTTTTAATGGCTTAGGTTTTCTAGAGCAAAAGATAAGAGTAACTAAGTTTATGTATAATATATATATATAATATAATATAATATATATATAATATATATATAATATATATATAATATATATATATATAATATATATATAATATTATAATATATGTATATATATATATATATTGGCTGAAGAGACCGAAATGGGACAAGCCTCCAGGGAGGCCCAAGGGACCATTGGTTTGCTTTTGTAGGTGATAACTTGGGGAAAACGGTGGAACATTTACAATTCCCCTAACAGTTTGACCCTGAGAATGGATTTGTTCCTGGGAAAAGAACTGTCTAAGCCCCTATTTCACATGGTCTATTTTCGTTGGGGGGATGTATCTACATGATTTTACCTGAAAAAAACATATCAGTGTTTACCCGACAGTATACTACACAATACATGTGCAATAGCAGGGGAGAACGTTGGGGTCTCAACCAACTTGTACCAATTCAACAGTTCAATCGTTCATGACTAATATGAAAAATCGAAGGGCTTGTAAGCAAAACTCACTCAGCAGGATTTCGCAATATTTCGCAGAAGCTTCTACCCCAAATTTGAAACTGGTCTGATGTCAACTTGGTACATAATCACACCATTGTTGTGAAATTCCTCGACACCCCTGGGCTTCTGGCCGAAGAGAAGACACAATATCTTCCAGCATACCTGCATAAAAATGACTCCATGGGTTGAGCTTCCAGAGAAAAATCTGAAAAACACTATTGATTTTAGGCCAAAAATATCAAGGTCTCCTGCAAATCTTCCTAGACGGAGATGTCACCAGTAAACATGATGGCAGTGACAACTGCTGACGTCCCGAAATGACACAGACGATCTAGCAGCATGAACAGGCACGTACGAAAAATCAAAGAACATGACGAAAACTCATGGACACATCCAGACATACAAGATACTTAAAGGCTACTTACCAAACTCAAAACGCCAACATTGGCAATTTAACATTCATATGCCCTCTAGTAATGCAACATAATGGATATGGAAAACCCGCTATGTGTAGGTCGTTTTTCTATGGAAGCCATTGTCAAACCTTGGTGTACCGAGTCACAGGCTCCGCAACAGGTCAATGTCCCTGCTTTAGGGTGTGTCTGAGAATGTCTGAGAATTCGGGATAGCCCTAAATTAGCTGGTTTTTAACGCAAACATGATGATCATGATGATCAACCATGGAATTTCGAAGCACCATATGTTCAGACAACCCCTTCTTTTTGAGGACTTGAAGACACCAGCCTCACCACTCCCAAGGCTGGATTGCCCGGGACCTTGCGAGAACTGGAAACTCTGGCAATGGACCAGTTGAAGATAAATCGTGATAAATCATTCATGTTAAGGTGCTTACGAAGGGTTTGCCAGGGATCCACCAATTATTAACAAAGCAACTTAACAATTATGCACAGAAAAGTTATATATCTGTAATGAAATAGTGATAGATGATGGTCCACGTCAAAAATCAAACATGCTTGGCTTGAATGTTCCAGGTTCCTGCGCTGATCCTGCTCTGCTTTCTGACCCGGCCAATCTTCAATTGCGTACGATTTGCACATGCACTGTGATAAGGGAGAGTTCATCCTCCAGGGGTAGATTCTAGTTAAATTAAACATGAAAGTGGGAAATATATGGAACATTATGGAAATATCCTACAAATCTTTGTATTCATGGGAGAATCCTGGACAGTCATCTACAACTCTGGATTTTCCAGAAGCCATGTTTGGTTACCATTTTGGGCATCAGCATAGTCGACTTCAACGTTCCTTGGTCCCCCACATATCATTTTCTAGTGGATATCTTTTATTTTGTTTCTGGTATGGCTGACTTTAAATGTGCCAGACATGAGCTCAAAAGCATAGTTCCAATTTATCAATCATACCATATCAGTTTCAGCCTTCTTCTGCGCAGGGCTCATCCCCTCAATCTTTGACAGACCAGGGGAAGCTCAGGAGGCAAGGATGACGATGAAGCTGAAGCAGCGGGCTCCAAAGGCTTCTCCTTGACAGCCTCCTTCACTGCCTCCTCCATGACAGTGTCAGCCTCATCCTTTGAAGCAGCAGGCCATTTCTGGCTTCGGGTACCATAGGCTATTCTGATCAGAGCGCGCTCAGCTTCACAAAGTACAGGTCGACTAGGGTCGACTTGCTGCAACAGGGAGGATGATGATGATGATGATGATGATGATGATTGAATGCATACATATAACATGAAGTCTAAACGTATCAGCTGGGGAAAAAACCAACTGGTGGCTATTGAGCTTGAGAACGCCATCCCCATGAAGTGGCCGCGGAAGTGGGAACATATCTTACATCCTCTGGTAACTCACAGTTTGCCATGAAACATGGCCCGTTTACAGAAGAATTGCCCAATAGAAATTGTGATTTTCCATGGCATCCATGGCTAGGTTAAATTGCCAGAGGGCAGAACCTCACTGTCAACCCAAAAACATATTTTGGATTGACAAAATTAAATGGGCGATGTCCCCAAGTGACGGGTCGAATAATCAGCTTTCCAGTGTCCAGGTCCATTCTCGTTGGCTTGGGTGTTTGAAAGTAGGGCCTCCAATGATAAACCAGTCATGTACAGTGTTAACGCCGAACTTGCTCCCGGGAACATCGAAGTATGACAGCATACAAATAGCCCTCCAATAAAATACAGTAATCTTAAACAGTTCCTTGAACAAAAAATTGAGGGCCAGTTTAAGGGCCTTTCTTTGCCTTTGCGGCACTGAGGCTCCACACCAGCAAGCCTTTCCGTGCAACCAGACTCTGAACACAGAACCTGACGCGGCAGTTTAATTCACTTTGAATCACCTCGGCACATCTTCCGTGTCCGTGTCGGAATCTGTTTTCGTTCGGGGATTTCTGTTTCAGATGGGGATCCCAAATCCAGGGAATCTAGTTTCAATGTTAAAATAGATTAAAATTGTCTAATTATGGATGATTTGGGGTACCCGGGTACCCATGGCTACGAGGAAACCTCCAGTTCGAAGCTAAACATGAACCAACATGGATCATATCGAAAAATGCTGCTCACCGGAAAATCAGCGCTTGATGGTCGCTTTTTGTGCGCTAAATTGGGGGGCCAATCGATTCTAGAAATTCTGTGGAGGCCGCGTCGCGTTGGTCCCTGTGGGGTCCCGGGCCCCTGAAAATCCAAAGGCAAATTCAGGAAACTCTCGTAGTTCTCCACCTGGCGAAAAATGAAAGAGTCAAGAAATGGGCCAAAAAGGCACCTTTCCAAACATCATCTCATTCCCGTAATGATGAAAACTGGGCTTTCTAGGGGATATCATGTCGTATCAAGACGCTTTCTAGTATGATGACAAATCAATAACATCAAGCTGGTCACCTCTAATTTACACCATGTTTCTTTTTCCAATGTTTATCATTGTTTATCCCACAACCTATCACCATCCGTGTGGTGTAGCTATCACCTATCACCATCCAACTCCGGTTTCGACAGGCCAGGGCCACAGTGAGTCTGACCGCAGTGGAAGGGTCCTGGCCGCGAGGCCACCGCAAAAATTTGAAGTCGCGAGGCCACCGCCCATCCTAAACACCAACAACATCGTTATAATACCCATAGGATCCATGTATGGTATATATATATACTAACATTGGGGGTATAGTATATTGATGGTAAATGTTACCATATATAACATACATGGATCCTATGGGTAGTATGATATAGGCAGGTTCATCACTGATTCATCACCTTCCAAAACTATGGTAACCTACCAGTACAACTTGGTATAACTTGGGGTTGGAAACGATGGACTTTGCAATATGAAACTCAGAAACGTGCTGTGACTAAAAGAACACGGGCCATCATTCCTTCAAATTTTCTACAGGAAGTGCTTTTGAGGACTCAACAAATCTCAACAAACAAAACGGAGTTCCGATGATGTCTTCGTAAGCCGACAAACGGCAGCTTCTGTTTCTCAAATTTTGGTTGCCCCAAAAGCAATGGTTTTCAGTGGTTTCTCCATCGAACATCAAGTTGGCTCCAGAAACTTGTGGCCTCCACTGTTCCACCATGCTCAAGTCTAGCGAACGTATTGTCGCAGCATTCACTGTGTGCATATTATATATATACTACTATATATACAGTGTGTATCTGTATATGTTAACATCATATCATAGCATATCAATATCAACTATAATCAGCTATATATTTATACTATAATCAACTATTTCATCAACTATGTATTGTATTACATGTATAATCATATAATCATATATATATATACTGGTTGGTGGTTTCAATCCCTCTGAAAAAATATGAGTTCGTCAGTTGGGATGATGAAATTCCCAATATATGGAAAAATAAAACATGTTCCAAACCACCAACCAGTGGGTAAATTGAAATAGTTCACTTACCCTCTGGTAAATTAACAGTTCGCTATGGAAAATCACCATCTTCAATGGGTAAATCCACTATAAATGGCCATTTTCAATACCAAGCATATATATATATATATTATATCACCTATAAACCATAATAGCTATGTTAGTTCCAAACCACCAACACCGTGACTGGCCGTCGCATCGGGGCCAGGAATGGAGTCCAAATCGACTGGATCCTGGCGACTCCAGGGTTGACATAGAAATAACGAGGATTTCATGGGGAAATCCATAGGAAAACCATAGGAACATGGAAAACCATGGGAAAACCATAGGAAACTATGGGAAAACCATAGGAAAACCATAGGAAAATGGAAAACCATGGGAAAACCATAGGAAACCATGGGAAAACCATAGTAAAACCATAGGAAAATGGAAAACCATGGGAAAACCATAGGAAAACCATGGGAAAAGGGAAAACCCATGGGAAAACCCATAGGAGAATGGAGGTTTACCCTAAATGGTAAACGTGAACCAAAAAACGATGGAACGATCCACCATGCTATTCATGGGTAAATCAACGAACTAAATGATTTCCAATGATCTCCTGGTTGGTGGTTTCAACCTACCCCTTCTGAAAAATGATGGACTTCGTCAGTTGGGATGATGAACTTCCCAATTGAATGGAAACATAAAACATGTTCCAAACCACCAAGCAGATCCAGGATTGACATTGAGTAGGTTATAACATGTAGCCATATAGCTTTGTAGGGGCAACTGAAACACAAAATCCACATAACATTAAGCACATATTCATTGGACCCGAAGATGATGAAATATTTGTGAGAATCACTAGCTTTGTGGCTCATCCCACGAATCGTAAGTAGGTTAGTTCACCCCAGTTGTAAGTGGATTAAGCCTACTTATCCCACTGAAATCACCAGGGATATAACCTAGCTTTGTGGGCTAACTGACCAGTGATGTTAGTGAGTTTAGGGTGAATAACTTGTTGGTCTCCCTAGGCTAGCGAACTAGATTTAGTTACTAGTTTTGTAGGGGATAATAAGCAACCAGGTGGGGTACAGTAGCTGACTTATAACTAGGGGTCCCCGCTATGTACAGAAATCTATCTGTTTCCAGCAACATTTCCAGCAAATACAGTACAGTAAGTGCTCTCTCAAAATGTTTTTATCAAAGAGGAATATACCGTACCTGATAACCAACAAACATGTGGAAACATGTTGTTTACCAACATTGGCTCAAGATCTGGGACGATCTGCGGGTTCAACACCATGGGTGGACCATGATGGACCGGGAAAATATGCCGCAAATCAACTCAGCAAAACCCATGGGAAAACCATGGGAAAACCATGGGAAAATGAAAAATCATGGGAAAATGGAAAACCATGGGATTTTCCATGGGAAAATCCATGGCAAAATCCATCATTTTCTGTGACTTTCATGAAAATCCATGGGAAAATCCATGAAAAATCCATTAAAAATCCATCATTTTCATGAGGACCTTCCCCAAGCCCAACGATCACTACAAGTACGATCGCCTCCCGATTCTCGTCGTAGACGTCCCCCCTTTGGGCTTCGGCCAAGGCGGCCTGGCTCAACACACACCCAACTCAGTGGAGAACCGACATGATCCGACTGCAATTAGTGGTGATCCAAAAATGGTGATTTAATGGTGATTTAATGGGGAATTAACCATTTAATGTATGTTAATTGGTGATTAAAAATTTTATATCCCATTCCCAAAAAAAATGGTGAATGGTAAATGGTAAACACATTCAAGTCTGGGTTAATGGGTGAGTAAATGGTTATGAATATCTTAAATTAATAGATCATTAAAAGAACATTGCAAATGGCTTCACGAGATATCACACTGAGTACATCCCAATATATATATATATATAAATCCTAGTATCACTGCAATGGGATTTACCTTGCCAGGTTGGTAAACATCACTAGGTCAACTGTTGTGTTTATGGTAAATATTGAACTCTTTCATGATTTTCGTCAGGCAATTTATAGCCGGGGGGGCATAGCATTGTGCGTCTATCTGAGTCTATCCTCCTCCCAAAAGTAGGATTTGTTTTTGTTTTGGAATTGTATCAAGTGTGTATTCGACTAATATTTTTTTCCTTAGAGCTCCAAGATTTCCCAAACACAGATCTGGTATGATCCAGTTGTGGTCAAAAACTGCACAAGGAAATGCGCTCCACCGGCATACTCTGTACACTATAGCAACCAGAAAATGGATGGACATCTTGTTTCAACCTGGTCAAAAAATGCACTGTTTAAGTTACCATCTCTTGATCCTGCCAGATTACAACCGTTAGTTTCTATGAAATTTTCAGTTTTTTTCACCACAGATATCCAGAGATATTCCCACTTATGGATACTTATGGATCAAGATCAAAACACCCCAGACTGTTGATGTGTCGTTTTTCAGAAAGGACTGGTTTAAGGGAACATTGAAACCGGAAAACCCCATGATCTTCATGGCAAAAACCCATGAGTTTCCGATTAAGATTTTCCCGAACAAAACTAAGCCATTGACATCATTTTCCCATCGTTTTCCCATCATTTTCCCATCATTTTCCCACCTTTTCATCCCATCTCCCGGTCGCGTCCCATCGCTAGGATCGCGTCCCACATCTTGACATCTCTAGGCTCCCCCCAGGCTCCACCCTGGCATTGATCGACAAGGTTGGGAAGTAGCGCTGTCGCAATTCCAGCAAGACACCTCGATGGCAGATGGGTTGTTTGATGCAACCGAATGCAACCCAGAAGTTTCAACATGAACATTCTGCCAAATGCTAAAAAAACATATATATATAATATATATATATATATAATTATCCGCCGACCCCGGCCGACGCAAGGGGGAGCGCGTAAGGGAAGAAGATGGAAGAAAAGGACTTGCAGCAGCCAGCAGGCATACTTGCAGCAGCCAGCAGGCATGTGAGGCAGCAGCAGCAGCAGCAGCAGCAGCAGCATTGAGCAAGAGTAACAGCAACAGAACTAGCAACAGCAACAGCAGCAACAACAACAACAAGAAGAACAAGAACAACAACAACAACAACAACAAGAAGAAGAACAACAACAACAACAACAACAAGAACAAGAACAACAACAACAACAACAACAACCACAAAGACAAACATAAACCCAAACAACAACAAACAACAATAACAAACAACACCAAACAACAATAAATAACAAGAAACAACAAGAAACAACAACCAACAACAACAAACCATGACCCTTTGCCGGGGGACTCTGTTGGGTCCCCCTCCGACCGGTCACGTACCTCGATTCCCTGACTCCGGGGTTTTTGTTTCACCGGTGGGGGGTCCTTCCCGGAGTCTCCTCGAAGTACGTGGGGCTCCTCGGGTTGCCCTTCCCGCCTGCCCTTTTTTTGGGTTCATGCTTGGTGGCTTCTTCGTCCTTCACTGCCATGGTGTTTCAGGCTGGCGGGTCTGGCGTTTTGGCGTGTCAGAAGCTGTAAGTTGAAGAGGTAGTTGAAGTGCTAGGTCTCTAGGATTTCAGAAGGGACGTTAGGGAGTTTTTTGGTGCGATTTGGTGGCTTCTTCGTCCTTCACTGCCTGGTATTTCAGGCTGGTGGGTCCGGCGTTTTGGCGGCTCAGAAGTTGTAAGTTGAAGAGCTAGTTGAAGAGCTAGGTCCCTAGGATTTCAGAATGGACGTTAGGGAGTTTTTTGGTGCGATTTGGTGGCTTCTTCGTCCTTCACTGCCATGGTGTTTCAGGCTGGCGGGTCCGACAATTTTGGCGGCGCTGTAAGTCGAAGAGCTAGTTGAAGAGCTAGTTCTCTAGGATTTCGGAAGGGACGTCAAGCCTCGGGACAGCATTTGACTTCGTTGTGGAGCTGTTTTGAGGGCATGGGAGCTGGCAGCAGCAGTCACCGTTGGATGGATTGGATTGGATGCGATTTCTAGCAGGATAAGGAATGGGAGTGGTTTACTTTTAGCCGTCGCAGCTAGCCAACAGCAGCAGCAGCAGCAGCAGCAATCAAAAGTGGATTGGAATTTGCACCAATGGGTGTCAAGAACGTGGGCAAGAGCACGCAAAAGGTGCACATAGCCAGTAGCTAGCAGCCAGCGCCAGTAGCAGCCAGCAGCCAGTAGCCAGCAGCCTACCAAAAATCTAGATTTTTCTAGGATTTCAGACGACACGTTAGGCACTTTTTTGGCGTGGTTCTGGCACTCGCTCGTCCTTCAGAGCCCTGGTGTTTTCCCCCCCGGCAGGTGATTTTTTCGAACCTGTTTTACTGCTAGCAGCCGCCAGCAACAGAATCTATCGAAAAATTGTGTTTTTCTAGAGTGTCAGACGACACGTTAGGCACTTCTATATATCTTGTATATATTTCTATAAGGTTTCAAACGTGACGTTTGGCAGTTTTCTCGTTTATATAGCACCAATGGGTGTCAAGAACATGGGCAAGAGCACGCAAAAGGTGCACATAGCCAGTAGCTAGCAGCCAGCGCCAGTAGCAGCCAACAGCCAGTAGCCAGCAGCCTACCAAAAATCTAGCTTTTTCTAGGATTTCAGACAAGTTTAGGAGCAGGAGCCGCAGCAGCAGCAGGAGGAAAAAGTAGCCAAAATCATCATGTTCTATGGGTTTCAGAAGTTACGTTAGGCATTTTCGGGGTGCAATTTTGGGGCTTATGGGCAAGAGCACGCAAAAGGGCAGCAGCAGCAGCAGCAGAAGCAGCAGCAGCAGCAGCAGTTGCTTCTTGCTTTGGAAGCTGTTTGATTGCAGCAGCACGACAGCAGCACCACAGCAGCAGCAGCCACCAGCAGCAGCACCAGCAGGAGGCAGCAGGCCGCCGCAGGCAGCAGCAGGCAGCAGCAAGCATCAGTAGGCAGCAGCAGACACAAGCAGACGCAGCAGCAGTAAGCGCAACGGCAGCAGTGCAGCAGCTAGCAGCACGAAAAATTATGTTTTTCTAGGATGGCACCAATGGGTGTCAAGAACGTGGGCAAGAGCACGCAAAAGGTGCACATAGCCACTGTTGATGGAAGAAATCCTGCACCACTTTCAAAGGCCTAGACTTGAAACCTCGTGCTCCTAATTTAATATTGTTTGAAGACACAGTGATCAAAATGGATTTGCGCGAGTGACGGAAATCCTGCACCACCTGTCAACATGTCATTCAACATTGAGCTTGGGGGTACGGGGGTACAAGTTATGCATTAGCAAATCTAAGGTTATAGAGGTGGTGCAGGATTTCTTCTACCCACCGAAGAAAGAAAAGGATTTCTTGTATTTTTGGTCTTGCAAATTTCTTCCCGTCACCAGCTACTTCCAGGGGATCAAATCCATCGTCCGTCCTTCTTATAGTTCCCCCAGTGTGCTTCACTCTTCACCTGCACACAGCTGAGCACGAGGCAAAATGAGCTACATGGCAGCCGCCGCGCGCTACACTGCAAACTACACGCAACACTCACGCTACACTACACGCAACACTACACGCTACACTACACGCAACACTACCAAAATGCTGTCAGGGGCAGCATTTCAGGTCAGGACAGAAAAAGCTGACATGTATTTTCATTTCATTCCTTAAGAGCCTCAAAGCTCCAAAATGCCGCCCCTGCCAGCAGTTCGGTAGTGTTGCGTGCAGTGTAGCGTGTAGTGTTGCGTGTAGTGTAGCGTGTAGTGTTGCGTGGGGCTGCCACGCAACACTGGTCACTTTCACGTGCTTCTTTGAGAAGGATTCTGCTTCCTCCCTCCTCCTGGTCCGGCAACCATTTTCCGGCATGCCAGCGCTGCTCTGCCCAGCTTGTGTTGCAATATAGCCAAATCTAAATGCACCAGGCTTGATGACCTTGAATTCAAAGGTTGATGATCTGACAAGCTATATCATGAATGCATATGGCCAAAACACCCTTCAGCTTCTGCCCGCTGATTCTTTGCAGTTCTTCAACCAGGCACATAAAATTTCAGTACTTTTGATGGAAGAAATCCTGCACCACTTTCAAAGGCCTAGACTTGAAACCTCGTGCTCCTAATTTAATATTGTTTGAAGACACAGTGATCAAAATGGATTTGCGCGAGTGACGGAAATCCTGCACCACCTGTCAACATGTCATTCAACATTGAGCTTGGGGGTACGGGGGTACAAGTTATGCATTAGCAAATCTAAGGTTATAGAGGTGGTGCAGGATTTCTTCCACCCACCGAAGAAAGAAAAGGATTTCTTGTATTTGTCTTGCAAATTTCTTCCCGTCACCAGCTACTTCCAGGGGATCAAATCCATCGTCCGTCCTTCTTATAGTTCCCCCAGTGTGCTTCACTCTTCACCTGCACACAGCTGAGCACGAGGCAAAATGAGCTACATGGCAGCCGCCGCACGCTACACTGCAAACTACACGCAACACTCACGCTACACTACACGCAACACTACACGCTACACTACACGCAACACTACCAAAATGCTGTCAGGGGCAGCATTTCAGGTCAGGGGCAGCATTTCCACAGGTCAGGACAGCCAGAAAAGCTGACATGTATTTCATTTTCATTCCTTTAAGAAGCCTCAAAAGCTCCAAAATGACCGCCCCCCGCAAGCAAGTTTCTTAGTGTTTTTTGCCCGTGCCGTGGTAGCGTGGTGTGTTTTGCCCCGTGTAGTGTAGCGTGTAGTGCTGCGTGGGGCTGCCACGCAACACTGGTCACTTTCATGAGCTTCTTTGAAACGGATTCTGCTTCCTCCCTCCTCCTGGTCCGGCAACCATTTTCTGGCATGCCAGCGCTGCTTTGCCCAGCTTGTGTTGCAATATAGTCAAATTTAAATGCAGCAGGCTCCGTGACTTTTAATTCAAGCATTACTGATTTGACCGGCTACTGCATAATGGCCAAAACATCCTTCAGCTTCTGCCCACTGCTTCGTTGCAGTTCTTCACCCAGGGATATAAAATTTCAGTACTGTTGATGGAAGAAATCCTGCACCACTTTCAAAGGCCTACACTTGAAACCTCGCGCTCCTAATTTAATATTGTTTGAAGACACAGTGATCAAAATGGATTTGCGCGAGTGACGGAAATCCTGCACCAACTGTCAACATGTCATTCAACATTGAGCTTGGGGGTACGGGGGCACAAGTTATGCATTAGCAAATCTAAGGTTATAAGAGGATATAAGAGGTGGTGCAGGATTTCTTCCACCCACCGAAGAAAGAAAAGGATTCCTTGTATTTTTGGTCTTGCAAATTTCTGCCCGTCACCAGCTACTTCCAGGGGATCAAATCCATCGTCGGTTCTTCTTATAGTTCCCCCAGTGTGCTTCACTCTTCACCTGCACGCAGCTGAGCACGAGGCAAAATGAGCTACATAGCAGCCGCCACACGCTACACTGCAAACCACACGCAACACTCACGCAACACTACACGCAGCACTACAAGCTACACTACAGGCAACACTACCAAAATGCTGCCAGGGGCAGCATTTCAGGTCAGGACAGAAAAAGCTGACTTGTATTTTTGTTTCGTTCCTTAAAAGCCTCAAAGCTCCAAAATGCTGCCCCTGCCAGCAGTTCGGTAGTGTTGCGTGCAGTGTAGCGTGTAGTGTTGCGTGTAGTGTTGCGTGGAGCTGCCACGCAACACTGGTCACTTTCACGTGCTTCTATGAAAAGGATTCTGC